GCACTAATTCTGTCTCCAAAGATTATTGGTAGGAACAATACAATGGAGTACACAGTAGCATTTGTTGACAATTATGGGAAGCACTTTGAACACTGGAAATGTCTGTAAATACTAAGTTGTGAAGCATGTGTTTGTGTATGTACCTGATATTGTTCCATCTATATCATATCAAACACTTGCATGTACAGTACCTTATACTTGGAAGAAGAGTATAATTCATTTCTGCAATGTTGGATTGGAATCATTCATAGTTACTTCTTTGGAAAAAGCAAATGGTTCATATTTCTATTGTAGTCAGAAGCAGATTAAGCCCATCTACGTGAAAAATTATCCTGTCTCTCCTTGCCTTAACTTTGGCTAAATGCCTCTGTTTCATTCATTCATTTCCTGACTTCTTGCAGTCCAGCTGCCTATCGGGGGTGACAGATGTGGACCTTTCAACATCTCTATTCATGCTTTTTGCCACAGGTATGAAAAAAATTCAAAACCATTTGGGATTCATGGCCAATGCTGCATTCTGGGGAAAAGGTATAAATAAGAATTATGGGCGGAGAACGAGTCATCTTCACACCAACCCTTTTTCTTCTTCAGTTTCTGCATTGATCAGCAGAGGGCAGCAACTGCTGGTAAATAAACAAGGTTGTGGGTGGGCAGTGGGGGAGGGAGAAGAGACAATGTGGGCCAAGTAATCGGGCGAAGCATAAACAGTGCTCCTGCTTTTCCTTTCCATATTCACAGCACTGTAGTCATTTTCCTCGGGAGTTGCAAGATTAAGTATTTCTGCCCTTGGAATGTGTACTTGTTGCTAAAGATCAAGACAACTAATTAGAAACTAGCATGCTTGTGCAGGACAATTGCATTTTCCAAGCAAACGCTTGTAATATTGACTTTTGTGGAAAATGCACACCTATTCCTCATCACATATTCCCTCCCCCCCCTCCAGGTGTATACATTAGCTTTTATTTTATTTTATTTATTTATCAAACCTATCCCCCCCCATCTCCCCCCAATGCTGTGCAATGTATGCACTACAGATTGTAATAATGTACTGCCACTTATGATTAGGTACATGCTGGGCCCCCAATGCAGTACGTACAACTTCAAATGTCTTTGCATGTGTATGTATCTAGCACTGCTTCTTTGCACTATAGAAAAAAGCACCTATAACATTAGGAAAATGCATGCCAGCTAGAGTCTAGAGCCTATTTTCACCACTGAGATACATAACTAGATACATTTTGACTCCAGCCCCATCTCGTGGCTAAATTGTGCAATGAGGCTATCCACATAATCCAGCAGCCTCCCATTGCCGCTATGGTGCTCCAGCACCACGTAGTGGTATGCATCATTTCAGTGTCCGCGTGCTCCTGGAGTCAATGAAAGAGAGCTTAGGGCCACATTGCAACCATTTTTCAATTTTGATCAATCTGTTTCCCTGCACCAATAAGGACATATGTCTTCTTTTCCTCAGCATTCTGCAGGGTAGAAAGTTTACCCACTCTCACTGAAATTACCATTGAATTAAAAAAAAAAGTCGAAATCCCTGTTAGATTCCCCTCACGGGACAATGTCTTAAAAAGCTATTTCTTCAGCCTATTTTGTTTAATTTTTCACTGGGATCACAAATGGCTTTAGCCGTAATTTACTAAGTCACAAATTACTTGGTTCATGCAAAGGCTATGCCTTAGATCATGGCGTATAAATCACTGAGCAGCTTAGTGCAAAACGTGACCTGAGTCAAGGCATAAACATGCATTCAAGGAATGCCTTCTAAAAGTCTTCAAGAGTATCAAGTATGGCACAGAGCTATATATCAGTGTTCCTCTTCACGGCTTTGATAGTTTTAAGGAGCAGATCTTCCTCCTATCTCCTGCAACGGCTAACTGGATGCCCTTGGGATGTGTCGCCTATCATATTCTGCGGAAATGCAAAGGCAGCCAAAAAATTTTTTTTAAAGCCCTGCAGAAGGCAGCATTCGACTTGTAAAAAGTTTCAGGTTGGTTTGGTTTTAAATAGCAACTCTTTGCCTTGAATTAGAGCATCTTGAAACGGGAGAAATCACAGGAACAAAAAGGGGTTGAGCTCTCAGCATGGCTGCAATTTGTTCATCTGTTAGAATTTTAATAAGCGATGTCCGTGCAACCTAGTCTTCTGGACTTCTTTCCATTGTTGCTCTGGGAGAAAGGAAAGAGGTACAATGGGATCACTTACTCATTACTTTTGATATTTCATCTTGTGAATAGAATGTGGCCCAAGAGGAAAACTCACACTTATTAACAATCAAAGGATGAGGTTTCAGAACTCCTTGCCTTGCCTTGACTGGTGTCTGGGAAAAGCTGCATCAATTATACAACATGAGAAAAAAATACTACATTACTTGGTTTCTGTAACTGATACAAATCACACAGGTCCAGTTGTTCTTTTCATAGAATTTGGGTCATTTTAGTGTAGAGCATCTACTGTTCAGAGGCACCGCAGATGCCTCTTCATTTGTTCCTTCTTCTTTACACAAAAGTATCTACGGTGAAAGACACACCTGTGTCCTCTGAAAATAAATACTGTCCTTTAAAATATACAGAAGTTCTTGTTGAAAGGATCCTTCTTTCCAAGTGTGCTCTCACATCTGAACATTTTGGTCTGTTGTTTTTTTTTTAATTTCCACAGAAGCGAAACGTTGCCATTGTCTTGGTTCTTGAAAATCTTCATTCTTCTGCAACTCTGAAAATTAAAGCAAGGATAATTTGAAAATGGATGCTTAAGTTTAATAGGCACTAACATCAAGGCAATCCAAGAAGCAGCAGGGATGCCCAAACATGATCTGACAGTTATCCTATGTTGTAATAATGCCATAATTCTTTTTGTCATTTATTCAGTGAATAGTTCTTGGTGGCCTGCAGCAAAACCCCTATGGCTTGTTGATGGTATTCATTAAATTAAATGTTCAGTGACTACTAGCAATATTAATCAAATAATTTGTTTCTGGTGTTATCCAACCTGAAAAAAAATAAAAAGAAACTTGAGCATGACTCAAGCCAAGGTAATCTGTGTTTATGGTCATGGAATTAACTTGAGGCTGGATAGGAAGAAAGAGAATGAATGTTGAGTGGCTTGATCTCCTAGGCCCAGGGGAACTATGAATCTTCTGATCATTGAGAGAAAAGATCAGTAACAGTCCATCTTTAGGCTAAGCCTGTGCACCCTCTTCCCAACCCTATGACATTTTTCCTGTGGCTGTCAGCTAGAAGCAAGAGGGTATGAACCTGTGTAGGGGAAGCAGTTCAAATTCACTTTGGGTTTTGCATCCAGATTAGTTAAGAGTTGATCAGAGAGTCACAAGTCTTTTAGTAACCCTCTCCCCCGCCATGCTAAGTGTTGCAAGCAAACTAGTTTATCAGCTCCCGTGAAATCTCTCTCTCTCTCTTTATTTTCTGACCTCCCACTTTTCAAAGTCCCAGGCATCCAAGTGCTCATGTGCAACCTCAGCTCTCCCTTTAATTATTGGCAGTGATGGTATTTTGAAATTCTGCAAATCTTGGAGTTCTTGGATCATGGATTCTTTTCCAGGATATCTTCTCTCTCTTCTGTTTCTCAGGTTTGGCTCCATTTCTGTTATCATGTACTGACCAACAGTTCCAGTTTGGCCAGGACCGCTTCCTTTTTCAAGATGCAGTTCTGATACAAAACTATGTCTTGATCAATCCCGGAACTTCAGTGTCACAACAGCCAACTTCTTTATCCTATGATGAGACCATCCCCCTTTTAAAAGAAGGAAGATTCCCCTAGCTTTCCCTCTTACATCACAAGACAAGGAGGAGAGGAAGATCATCCTTCTGGCTTCAGTTCCAGGAGAACGGCCGACAGCCACATCTCCAGTTGACTCCTCCCCCTCTCTCCAGGAAAACACAGAGGGAAGTGATTGGTTGAAAAACTGCTGCAGCAGCTATATCTGCCCCTGCAGGAGAATGGGAATGGCCATGATTAAAAAAAATGCATGAATGAGCAGAAAGTGCAACATGGCATAGGTCAGTGATGGCAAACCTATGACACGCGTGTCAAAGGTGACACACCCCAGCATTTTGGGTGACACGCCAGCATTCACCAATACCTGACAACTATTCTCCCTGTTTGAGTTACCAAAGAAACTGAGTTTGTTTTACTCGTACAGTGGTAC